TGTTGCTTAACGCCGCACTCAGCAGTAATCCAGAGATAGGGCGGAGATATGTAAATAAATCAAGTCAGTGATTGACATCATGAGCATCGATCTATACAATTGGAATACGATGACATGCATCAACCAAGTCAATGAGCCTGACAACTCGATCCCGTTAGTCGCCTCTTACGACAAGCTTAATCGCCTCTATTGACAAACATGGGTTGCTGAAGATAAGTTCTAACCCGGATGTTCACGAGTCCCCTCACATATATGTAAACAAAGTACCTCACACACACACACACACACACACACACACACACACACACACACACACTCTCTCTCACACACACACACACACACACACACACACACACACACACACACACACACACACACACACACTCTCTCTCTCTCTCTCTCACTCACACACACACACACACACACACACACACACACACACACACACACATACCTAATTACTGTTTCTTTAAGCATATAATCATTATTGTTTCGCCAATAGTGTTGTTGCCTGCCACCATGTTGATCATATTCTATGGCTAGGTTAACAATTCCCCAAAGAAATTACTGAGATAAAATGTCCTGAATTGTCCTAGACCAACTTACTCGAGGAGTCATATTCTGCCACCTTTGTGTGGATGACCAGTTGATATCCGTCCCTGGGGTCTTTATCTTCTGGCTTTCAATTAATTGCTTCTAATGGCATCACTGGTCTATTTCGAGGGACAATGGCTAGGCCAGGAATGATGTATTCAGAACGAGAATGTATTGTTATCAAACAGATTGCAAAACAGTTTCTATGGTAACTAGTTCCTACAATTTCCAGATTTAAATTTTCCAATTTTGAAACAAAAGTAAGGGGCCAAGTTTCATGAACAAAATATCCCCATTTTTGTCTCTGATGTAGCGAGTAGCGTTTCGCGGATGTCTTCAAGCTTCTTAATGGGCAATAATCATGAATCAACGATGCCCTGGAAGTACAGATTAAAGGAGAACAGTTATTCACCTTTACAACTTGTCTAGACCAGGGCTTGTGTCAAATGGATGATTAAAGACAAAGCGTTCTTTATGAGACATGTATCAATTGCCCGAGGCTTGCCTCTTTTGCCTTGTCTTTATCCAAGTGCAGAAATTGTTGTGATTCGTGGATTTGGGAAGATAATATGCTCCTGCAGACGCCATCAACTCTGTCATTTGGTAGTTACAGTAGTGAATGCGTGAGTGGGGTTCAGACCGCTGCTAGCAAAATTCCAGTTTTACACAGAGGTGGTCATCAGAAATTTGCTTTCCCTATTGACGGAGTGGATCTCGGGTCTTCGGCTTCGCTTAAGCCACCAGTTTCAGAAATATATATCGCCGCGAATAGCTGCAAAATTGCTGATGCGGCATTAAGCAATATTCACTCACTCACTCAGAAATATATATATGTAGTAGTAAAAATGTAAATCGACAACATATGATCGGGGTTCGAATTCAAGGCGAGGCGAGGTTTTGGTTTGGTGTTTTACGCCGCACTCAGCAATATTCCAGCTATATGACGGCGGTCTGTAAATAATCTCCGAGTCTGGACCAGACAATCCAGTGATTTACATCATGAACATCAATCCACGCAATTGGGATCGATGACATGCATCAATCAAGTCAGCGAGCCTGACCACCCGATCCCGTTAGCCGCCTTTTACGACAAGCATAGTCGACTTTTACGGCAAGCATGGGTTGCTGAAGACCTATTCTACCCCGGATTCTTCACGGTGAGGTGAGGTGAGGCGAGGCGAGGCGAGGCGAGGCGAGGCGAGGCGAGGCGAAATGGGGTTTAACGTCGCGTTCAGAATGAAACAGCGTCGTACACATGTGTGTATGAATCAAGGCTTCTTCGAATGTGTATATTGTGCTAGTCTACTACGATCCCATGCCGCAGTTTACCAAGGATACCCCACACAGAATACTCACTCTATATATCTAAGGGGCTAGGTCGTCTAATGCACCAGAGTTACATGTCTCGTAAGGGCCGGAAACCGATGATGTGGGTTCGAATCCTGATTCATGGTTTGCCAGCACCATATCCGGGTTTCACTAAATTGGTAGACGTATGCGACCTTGCATCACTTCGGGCTTTCCTCCCACATAAATTTGTCGCATCGTGATATAACTGGAATACTGTTCAAAGCGGGTTTGCCAAACTCACTTGCAGATCCTCTCTGTATGTTCATATACCAGTCGGGGGCACGGGTGGCCCAGTCGTCTAGGGCGCCGTGATTCGCTGTGCAGAGTTGCGTCCCTTGGGTACACCAGAAACCTATGATTGTGGGTTCGAATCCCGGTTCGCCCCGATTATGTTTCTAGGTTTGTCAGCACCATACCCGTGCTCGTGGGTTTCACCGAAGTAAAAGTGAGACCTCCATCACTTCGGGCTTTCCCCCCTATTAAGCTGACACGCCGTGATATAACTGGAATACTGTTAAACGCGGCGTAAACCCAACTCACTCACTCATATACCAGTCATACAAAATTAATGATGAATGAAATAATTGAAGTAGCTTGTATCATTCAGAAGATGGGCGGTGGGAAGCCAAGTGGTTAAAGCGCTGTCCCGTCACGCCGAAGACCCGGGTTCGATTCCCCACCTGGGTACAATGTGTGAAGCCCATTTTCCTGTGTCCCCCGCTGTGATATTGCTAAAATATTGCTAAAAGCGGCGTAAAACCATACTCACTCACTCATTTAGGAAATTAAGACATGCCACGTGATTCGTTGTTTTTCATGTTGATTACCGTTGTTTTCCTCTATATTTAGAATACGGTCATTTTGATAATTGCGATATATATAGATAAGTGTATTTCATGAACGTTGATGTACCTAAATCCTGATGAATGAATCATTAAACTCCAAATATATCTAAACGTGCGAAATGTATTATCACATTTCAGTTCTAAGTAACCCATGATATTTTTTCATCAGTAATATCACTGTCACTCAATCGTGACTACTTTGTGTCAACCGTATTTCACCTTAATCCCATCAGATAAATGCTCTTATACCTTCTGTCTGGTTTCGTGGACAACTGTGTCAGTGGTCCAGTCAATACTGTCAACCGCATTTTGCTCCAGGAAGTTAATAGGATTTACCAAGTGACTTAAATGTCTGCCCGAGCGTAAAATTGGCCACGGGAATGTATTAACTCACATCGTTCTCAGCTGATGGTCAATCAACAAAGAACTCGTAGGCGAATACATAGACGGAGTTGTGCCATTGTAGGCTGGATAACACAAGCAGTGAAACCCCGTTTATCCATCCGTACGTTACCGTTAACTGGTAACTGCCCTGATAAACATTTTCATGGGACGGAGGGGTATCAGTTTGAATTTGAACATAGACGTTTCTTACAAGGGGGTTTTGGGACTTGTGGCTTGTAAAATGTGTGAAGAAATGCAATTGGTTTGGTTGGTTGGTTTGTTGTTTAACGCCGCACTCAGCAATATTCCAGCTATATGACGGCGGTCTGTAAAATAATCGAGTCTGGACCAGACAATCCAGTGATTGATATCATGAGCATCGGTCCACGCAATTGGGACCGATGACATGCATCAATCAGGTCAGCGAGCCTGACCATCGGATCCCGTTAGTCGCCTCTTACGACAAGCTTGTCGCCTTTTACGGCAAGTATGGGTTGCTGAAGACCTATTCTACCCCGGAATCTTCAAATGAATAAATCATCATGTAGTCTATGTTGCCTATGCAGTCTATTTATTGAACTTTTGTCCCAGCATTGGCATTACAACTTCCCATGTTGTAGGTCAAGTGTAAATGTGTGATGGTTGTTTGTAGTTTAACGCCGCACTCAGCAATATTCCAGCTATATGCGGCGGTCTGTAAATAATCGAGTCTGGACCAGACAATCCAGTGATCGATATCATGCGCATCGATGACATGCATCAACCAAGTCAGCCAGCCTGACCACCCGATCCCGTTAGTCGCCTCTTACGTCAAACATAGTCGCCTTTTACGGCAATTTGATTTGTCATACATATGGGCTAAAATTAAATAGACCAGTTTTAGTGTAGCCCCATGATGTAATCCAAGGTCAGCATCAAAGTCACCAAGTTGTGCGCGAGGCTATGGGCATGTGACGCCGGATGACACACTGTGATATGGATCTCTTTGTGGTATAACAGACAGGATGTAATTATTCCGTTACCCAAAATAGTGGATTCATGTCAGTAAAAGGTTTCTTTGAAAATGATTGTCATAGTCTCCTGGCAGGCTAAACATATAACGAAATATGCTACTGCACAGGGTCAAATGCCAAATACGAATATACATTCCTCCTTGTGGTTGGTTCGTTTGTTGTTTAACGCCGCACTCAGCAGTATGCCAGCTATATGACGGCGGTCTGTAAAATAATCGAGTCTGGATCAGACAATCCAGTGATTGACATCATGAGCATCGATCCAAGCAATTGGGATCACTGACATGCATCAACCAAGTCAGCGAGCCTGACCACCCGATCCCGTTAGTCGCCTTTTACGACAAGCATAGTCGCCTTTTACGGCAAGCATGGGTTGCTGAAGACCTATTCTACCCCGGATCTCCTCCTTGTGAATAAGAAAGCCCAATTGTTACAAGACAAGCAAGACATATGGAAAGATGGATCAACTCATTTTCCGTATGTTGAGCTAAACAAACACCACAATTACAAAATAAAGTTAATTTATTTTATTCTGAACAGCTGAATACAATTGTACAAACAGTAGTTTACAAGCATAAGACATATACATGTGAACCAATACAGCGAAGAGCACAAAGGGAATGCATGTTCGAGTGAACAAAAAACATTGCAGTGCGGTACAGCAGCTATATAGGTTGGTTGGTTTGTTGTTTTACGCCGCACTCAGCAATATTCCAGCTATATGACGGCGGTCTGTAAATAATCGAGTCTGGACCAGACAATCCAGTGATTGACATCATGATCATCGATCCACGAAATTGGGATCGATGACATTCTTCAACCAAGTCAGGAAGCCTGACCACCCGATCCCGTTCGTCGCCTCTTACGACAAGCATAGTTGCCTTTTTACGGCAAGCACGGGTTGCTGAAGACGTATTCTACCCCGCATCTGACACAACTATACATAATCTGATCATTAGTATGCTGGTTAAATATACTAGCCAGATACATTGTCATACTAAAAGACTGGAGGACCTAAAGTAACATGTGGCCTTAATACGTTACAATGGAATTCCCATTCTGCAAGATAATATTTTCATACTAAAAAATTCTTCTCGAAAGACAAACACTAAATTCCAACAGTATGCTGTTATGTGTTTTCGTAACACAAAAGCCTACACCCAAGCCGTTATGAAATGGACTCATTCCAGTGGTTGAGCAGTTTTGACTGATTCCACAAGGTTCTGCCAAAACGCATCTCTTCCATACACATCTGTATTGTATTCCAGATAGGAGTTGTTGGAGAGAAGCACAGCCATTTCTCTAGGCACATCTTTCACGGGAACATGTTCATACATCAGAATCAACAGATTGTCCTGTCTACGGTTCACTCTTGACTGCAAGGCAATGTGATACTCAAAGACACACCAGTCACTTTTCAGGAAGGCTGGAGAAAGAACAATCAAGGTCTTCCTACTATTGTCAATGGCGTTGACTATGTTGGAAGCAATGGCCTCCCCTGGTAGAAAGTCACGGTGGTGGATACACATTCGTAGTCCTGCCTTGGTTTCAAGTTCAGGAATCATTTCCTGAATGACAACGTGTCTGTCAGATTCAGCATAGGAGACAAAGACATCATATTGATACTGGAGCACTTCCTCCACTGGATGTTGTCTCCAGAACCTTCTTCTACCAATGTAGTACATGTACCTAATACTCCAGCGATGACGATAACCCAGGGCAACGCAAATGATCAAGACAATACATACACACGAGGATGCCGTGACAATTCCCAAAGCAGCATTAGCAGGACTGCATTCAGATGTAAGTTCCTCCACAATCTGATGAAGTTTTGTCATGGAGATGCTTGAACCATTGTCATACTCGCAGGCCATTTCTGACAGTTCGCTAAACTTGTTCTGATTGGCGTTCATCCACCTAAGAAAGTCCAGTGCTTGGCAGGAACACTGAATCGGGTTTCCACGAAGATTTACGGTCACATTTGGAAGCATATCAAGTTCTCTTATGGTATCCTTCGACAATCGCTGCAGCTTGTTTTTTGAAAGATCAAGATAATGAAGGAATGGCATGGTTTTTAGTTGAGCTTCAAAACGTCGGAGAAAATTACTGCGGATATTTAAGATTTTAACACTCTTTAACCCCCTAAAAATATTCCTTGGTAGGAAAGTAATTACATTATCTGATATGTCAAACTGTTTAACATGATGGAAACGATAAAATATGTTTCCATCGCTATCACTTTGAAGTCTCTGACTGAGAAGATTGTTTGACAGATTGAGATGCGTTATAGAATTGTTGACAGGGACAACGTCAGAGCCAATGTAGCTTAATATGTTGTACGAGAAGTCTACGTACTCAACACTCTCTATTCCTTCAATATGAATCGTAAACAACGCCATCAAATTGTGCCTCATAATGACCCGTTTTAAATTGTTCTTTGTTAGAGCTACATTCATCCAAAGCCCTGTATTATAGCAATGCTCTGCTACGATAGTGTGTAATTTAGGCGGCATTGGTAAAGGCAGAGGAAAGGGGTTATCATCTGAAGATCTAGGAGGCCAAAGGTTCAATAATGAGAGGTCTATTGTCTCTAAAGATTGTAATCCAGCTAATTCGAGAAGGTACAGACCATGTATAAATCGGTTTGCCCTTGCCGAGAGAAATTTTAACGTTTTGGGCAAGGATGAAATTGATCCTAATTCACACTTTGTGATGCCATTATCATCTATGTAAAGTTCTTCCAGGTTCGTGGTATTAAGGTACTGAAAGTCAACTCTCTGCACTTGGTGACAATCCAACGGTTGATATAAGTAATTGAGTTTCAACACCTTTATTGTTGAACCTCCAAGACCAAAATAAGCTTTAGAAAAGTTTCTAAATCCCAGATTTGGGTTCCGTGAAACATCAAGAGTGTGAAGGCCTTTCATTGGACTGAAAGTCAGATGTTCAGCGTCAACTATTCCACAGCTAGATAAGTTAACATATGTCAGGAAGGGGACACTTGAGAAGGTAGAATTTCGTAGCATTTGCATGTTACAAAATCCATTGCTACCAGAAAGTGTTAGGTTACTAAGATTCTTAAGTTTACGAAATCCTTGTCCAAAATCATAATGCGAACCATCCATGTGTAATGACTGAAGTGAAGTTAAACTGGACAGACAGGCGTCAGGGTAAGGGGATCCTTTGCTGTTATGATTAATCCTGAGCTTCAACAAGCTGCTCAGAGGATTAAAGAGTGTTGGTGTAAAGGTGTTATTGTCGTAGCTTAAACAATTTGATTCAAGATTGAGACTTTCAAGCTCAGACAATCCAAAGAAGGAATCTACATTGAGATACTTTAGGCTATTGAAAGAGAGATCCAGCACCTTCAGAACAGAAACATTTACAAAGGCTTGGTTGGTTGTTCCGGTATGTAGTTGCGACTCAGCAAGAGGGTTGTAGTATTCCTTGGTAGGCATGTTGGTACGTTTTGCAAGCCCTGGTTTGTGCAGTTAGCTAGAGTACCACCATGATTAGGATCAATGGATAGAATGCAGCATCCCCTTCCTGGTTGTGCCACGTTCCGAGTTGTGCCGTGCGACAAGGAAGTTGATACCAAGAGGAAAATCTGAAATTAGAGGGTTCAAAACATTCAAACCAATGTGCATGTATCGTGGAAAACTAAAAGTGACCAGAACTATCTTTGGTTGGTTTGTTGTTTAACGCCGCACTCAGCTATATGACGGCGGTCTGTAAATAATCGAGTATCGATCCACGCAATTAGGATCGATGACATGCATCAACCAAGTCAGCGAGTCTGACCACCCGATCCCGTTAGTCGCCTTTTACGGCAAGCGTGGGTTTCTGAAGACCTATTCTACCCCGGAATCTTCACGGCTTCCTGCATGGACCCTGGCTGGATTTATATCGTCCCTTCAGTCACTGGTGATATTTTACCAGTTAAGCCAAATATTAAAATGACGAAAATTCTACGTTTTAAAATTCTGGCATGCATATAAATACTTCGAATGATGTGGGACTTACATTTCCTCTTAAGGGGACAATAATTTTACGCTACTTCAACTCCCCTTAAAGGTACAGCCACTAACAATCTAAGTTATGAATTAGCACTACCAATTTTTAAAACAATACAGTAAATACATCACAATTTAAGAATAAGTTCTATTTCTTTTAAAAAACATGGTATTAAATGAGAATTAACTTTACTAAAAAGGTCCTTCCCTGTTTTTACACTGAAATATTTATCCTTTGTGATGGAAAAATCAATACAGTCAAGCAGGACATGCTTGACCGTGATTCTTTCATCACAAGGTTGGTTGGTTTGTTGTTTAACGCCGCACTCAGCAATATTCCAGCTATATGACGGCGGTCTGTAAATAATCGAGTCTGGAACAGACAATCCAGTGATTAATATCATGAGCATCGATCCACGCAATTGGGATCGATGACATGCATCAACCAAGTCAGCGAGCCTGACCACCCGATCCCGTTAGTCGCTTTTTACGACAAGCATAATCGCCTTTATACGGCAAGCATGGGTTGCCGCCGTCAATACCATGAGTATTGCTGAGTGCGGCGTTAAACAACAAACAAACAAACAAATCTTACGACAAGCATGGGTTGCTGAAGACCTATTCTACCCCGGGTCTGGAAATCGTGATGTAAATCTGGCACATCAACGGCAACCATGAAAATCGGACTATACTTACAGATAGAAAGCTGCCCAACATATTCCGTATCTGTGGTTTCACCGCTGTCCCTGAAGTACCTGCGCTTATTAAACTACAATACTTTGTTACATCAGTGTACATAACATTTCTTTTCTCATTCCCCGAAAATAAAATGAATTTGCGAGGATACTTGCTCGCCGAGCAGAAACTTCCTGATCGGACAACAGTGGTCTATTCACATTGATGTGTACTTTGTGCCTCTCAATCCATACATAGATGCCTTTACGGGGAACTGTTTGTATGTGCAGTTATACGTAGGCGGGAGGAACGTTTGCTATTCTAACTCGGGTCCCACATTATTACAAACACATTAATACAAACACTGGACTCGTGAAGATCCGGGGTAGAATAGGTCTTCAGCAACCCATGCTTGCCACAAAAGGCGACTAACCGGATCGGGTGGTCAGGCTCGCTGACTTGGTTGATGCGTGGATCGATGCTCATGATATCAATCACTGGATGGTCTGGTCCAGACTCGATTACTTACAGACCGCCGTCATGATCATATAGCTGGAATATTACTGACTGCGGCGTGAAACAACTAACCAAGCAACTATTAAACACTGAATGCTTTTTTATGAAAACCGTTTGAGTTACGGTGCGTAGAACAGGACCTGCGTACCCTTTTCGCCACCTCCCAGTGTAACCACTATATGTTCATCCCGCCGTCATATGACCCGTGAAGATTCCAGGGTAGAATATAGGTCTTCAGCAACCCATACTTGCCGTAAAAGGCGACTGTGCTTGTCGTAAAAGGCGACTAACGGGATCGGGTGGTCAGGCTCGCTTAATTGGTTGATGCATGTCATCGATCCCAATTGCGTGGGACCCGTGAAGATTTCGGGGTAGAATAGGTCTTCAGCAACCAATGCTTGCCGTAAAAGGTGACTAACGGGATCGGGTGGTCAGGCTCGCTGACTTGGTTGATGCATGTTATCGATCCCAATTGCTTGTATCGATGTTCATGCTGTCAATTACTGGATTGTCTGGTGCAGACTCGATTATTTACAGACCGCCGTCATATAGCTGGATTATTGCTGAGTGCGGCGTTAAACAACAAACCAACAACCAATTGCGTGGATCGATGCTCATGACATCAATCACTGGATTGTCTGGTCCAGACTCGATTATTTACAGACCGCAGTCATATAGCTGGAATATTGCTGAGTGCGGCGTTATTACAACAAACCAACCAAATGAGTTGACCGATGACATGCATCAACCAAGTCAGCGAGCCTGACCACCCGATCCCGTTAGTCGCCTTTTACGAGAAGCATGGGTTGCTGAAGACCTATTCTAACCCGGATCTTCACGGGTCGGGAGTGAGTACCACCATGCTTGGGTTCAATTGACATAATGCAGCATCTCCTTCATCGTATGTGACGTTCAGGATTGTGTCACCTTACAAGGAAGTTGATACCATGAGAAAAATCTTAAAATTACCGGGTTCAAAATGTTTAAACCACCGGGTTCAAAATGTTTACACCAAGTGCATGTATCGAGGAAAACTGACGGTGACCAGGAACATGACAACACCTTTAAGACTAACAACTTAGACAAAAAGTAGTTTTCATATGTTCTTTTTGGTCAACGCATGGACAGTATCAAGGTCTGTAGGTTACGTTTATTAATTATTCACCCGTGCACAGGCAACTTAGTCCCATTTAGCTCTCTTGACTTTTGTCAGTGCGTGTACAGCGTTTTTTGGTTAGGTTTATTGTATATTCCTTTATAATTCAATGCATTAGTAAATCCCCAGACACGCCACCATGATGTAACTCCGAGCAATAACAGAATACAGACAAAGAAGAGAAAGGAATTTTTTAAAGTACGCTTCTGACCCGTGAAGATCCGGTTAGTTGTTTGCCGTAAAACGCGACTATGCTTGTCGTAAGAGCTGACTAACGGGATCGGGTGGTCAGGCTCATTGACTTGGTTGATGCATGTCTTGGTTGATGTATGTCATTGTATACCAGACCCGTGAAGATCCGGGGTGATATAGGTCTTCAGCAACCCAAACTTGCCGTAAAAGGTGACTATGCTTGTGTTCGCTGACTTGGTTGATGCATGTCATTGTATACCAGACCCGTGAAGATCCGTAAAAGGTGACTATGCTTGTCGTTGGTTGGATGGTTGGTTGGTTGGTTGTTTAACGCCGCACTCAGCGATATTCCAGCTATATGACGGTTGTCTGTAAAATAATCGAGTCTGGACCAGACCATCCAGTGATTAATATCATGAGCATCGATCCACGCAATTTGGATCGATGACATGCATCAACCAAGTCAGCGAGTCTAACCACCCGATCCCGTTAGTCGCCTTTTACGACAAGCATAGTCGCCTTTTACGGCAAGCATAGGTTGCTGAAGACCTATTCTCAATTGGGATGATGAGATGCTTCAACCAAGTTAGCGAGCCTGACCACCCGATCCTGTTAGTCGCCTCTTACGACAATTATGGGTTGCTGAAGACCTATTCTACCCCGATCTTTACAGGTCCCGCCGCATAGAAGTCATATTTCTGTGCATGCAGCGTCAGGCAACAGACACTAAGCGTATTAAGCAAATTTTGCGAGTCGTGCAATCGTCCTGTAACTCCTTGCAATAACAGTATGCAGCGAAAGAAGAGAAAGGAAAGTTAGTAAATGCGCTATCGTGGCACTGGAGATTGTCTGGTTTGTTTCCAGGTCCCCGTCGCCTAGAAGGAATATTAATAATACTGTGCAGCGCCAGACAACAGACGCTAAGCATTTCAGGCAAATTGTGTAAGTGGAGGGTGGTACTGCATGGTAAGGCAGGTTTTGGTTTGGAAATACACATGGCAGGATTGATCATTCGAGAAGTTTGTCATGTGAAATTATATGAATGGATCACTGAAAACCACTGTTGACACCATGAGTTTGCTAAAAGGGTAAGCATGTCCTGCTCTACCGGTTGCAATCGTCACTCACACAATTTTCACAAAAAATAAGATTGGTTGGTGTGTTGTTTTGCGCCGCACTCAGCAATATTCCAGCTCTATGACGGCGGTCTGTAAATAATCGAGTCTGGACCAGACAAGCCAGTGATTTACTGATAATTCCACCTCTTGCCAGGGAAAACAAGTTAGGAGGCATTACCACCCCCGGTGATGGTACCTGTGGAAGATCGGGGCGATATTACTGCTTGTGGTTGGGACGTGGACTCGGTACTGATCCCAGTCTCATCCATGTTGTAGAGCCTCTCTGGATTCTCTCTCAATACATTGACTGTCAAAATAGTGGCCATCTCTTCAAAGTAGGAATGCAGTGCTTGCTTGCATATTATGCTTTCACCATTGATAGCTTCTGGGTTTTGCAAGTTTAACCTCGGGCCATCGCCACGGGAACCCATAAAACCAGTTGTCACAAAAGTCGGCCGCCAGGTATTGGACATTGAGCTTTGTATAGCCGTATCCTATGCTGGACATGTACATGTACTTAATTTGAATGACTAATTGCTACTCCACATTGTCCGACAAAAGCGTCTCTCCACCGGACTTGGCATCAACAGGAATATCACCCCTTGTTCAGTTGAAGAGTTGAGTCCGGAACTCTATACAAACGAGATGCAGGATAGCTGACATTCCATTGCGAGTGGCATCACATGCACGCTAAAACGTTTTCAGCATCATACTGGCATCTAACT